GCTTTCACAATTCCTTTTACTTCCATAGTGTTATGTACTTCCAAGTGAAATGGGTTAATCAATGCTTATCTACTAAACCATTTAAAAGTTTGGAATCAGTAGTTTATTTATTTTTTTTTTAATGAAAGTTTATTCAAAAGGGACACCTTACAGTATGACACACAAAGTGACAGTAAAGACTTTTATAATGTTTGTATGTAATATTATTTAAAATAAATGCTATAGACCCTTTTTCTGTTAGTAAACATGATGTTTTTCTGTGGGCGGAGCTTAGGTGGAGGCAGAAAGATTCCCCTGACCGCTTCACTAACGCAAGCTATGAAGTTTGTTAGCTTGTTTTTTTAACAATGACTGGAGAAAATCCGATTTTACTTGCATATGTAAGGTCACTCACTGTTCGGGACCGCGATTGTTATTTGAAAAGGTTAACTTTAACGGACGAAACCAGATTGTCCGACCCATCACTCAAAGCTTGGACGATCTGACAGGAGTAACGTTACCTCCAGTTGAGTGACTCACATCTACAGAGAAACCTAACGTGTATAGTAAAGACAAACTCACCTATGTCTGTCTAGTCATGAAGATGTATATATATTTCAATTTCAGCAGGCAACTATTTTTACAGCTACATGAACTGGGCCAAAATACACAAAAAAAGTTAAACATTCAATGTGAAGGATTTAAAGATGTATGTGTAATGTAATGATCAGTTATTTTAAAGTATATTTACCTCCTGTAAATGATGTAAGTTTACAGTGACATTACAGTACCTTTACATTAGCCTACTTTACATACAGTACATTTAAATTAAGATGTGAATATTTTCTAGAAATAAAAATTCCAGAAACTAATTTTGAACTTTCTGTATTTGATTTTTTTTTTTTTTTACAAAGTTCTTAAAAATTCCAGCCACAATCAATCACAACAATGTATATACTATTACAGATCATTAATATAAATCATCAGTTTGTCATTTTACACGCATGCACACGGACATTATTTCATACACGACATGTAGAGAGATGCATAAGAAGTCTTTAGATGTGTAACACAATCCATAACAACAAAAGACAATACTTTATTTAAGCTTTTCCGATAAGAAGTTTTGACGACCATTTCTGTCCAGTCTGCTCGTTTTATCGCGTTTAAGCACAGCTGTCATGCTTTAAAATTTCAAATTGGAGCCTCTACTACGTCGATTCTGGCACCCAACATCACAACAAGACGATATTTTAAGCTCCTTATGTAGCCCAATCTGCGCTGGTTTGAATTGGCCGCCTCCAGTTTTCCCTTTGTTTTGCCTCCAGCTAGCGCTGTGACGTAATTGTGACGTCGGCCCTAAAAGGGTCTATTCTTTCTCAAATTTCTGTTTTCAATTTATGGTATTAAGAAGTCTTTCTTGAGTACCAAATCAGCATATTAAAATGATTTATGATCATGTGACCAGAATAATGGCTGTTGTGATATTTCACAATGTTACCGAAAAGAGACTCCTTTTAAACTTAATAATCTTTAAAAAATTCTTACTATTTAAATGATAGTATACCTACCTTGCTTCATTTTTTAAAATCTTTTTGTCTTATTTTACTGTATGTTCATATCAGCAGCATAGTTGTGTATGAGTGCAAAATAAAATAACAAATACTGTAGCCCAAAAACCCAAGAAATATTAACAAATAAAATGGAATAGTAGTAGTACAAAATAAAGTGAATTAGAAAGATTAAAGTGACAGTGTAGTGAAGTGCAGAGGAAAAGTGTCTCTTCCTCTTCTGTTTGATTCGCATTGACTATTGCACGCCTTCTGTTGATCATGTTTGCATTTTATTACACATCTCTATTTCCTCATTCCTGAGAAACTACTTGATTATGCCATTTTGCCAGAAATTTGCTCCGGTTGACAATCCTCCCATCCTGATTTTTCAATTACTGACACTTTCCCAATCCTATTAAAAAAAAGGAAAAGAAATTCATGAAATAACCCTACAAATGAGATGAATTCGGCATGAGGGCGTCACGGCTTCTAAATGTACGTTTCTCACGGAAAGCAGCATTGTCTTTAATTTACTGCTCATTTGAGTGTTGTGACACGTCTACGGCTCTTTATTCGGCTAAACTAACAGTTTATTTCATCCATAATAACCGTCATCATTGTCGTCATTTTGATTTAGACATGAGCTGGAATCCCATCAGCAAATGTATTTTGTTGATGGACTACTACACTCCCCTTCTCTGTTTTCTCCGCTCCAGTCCGATTTGACAAATTCAATTCAGGGTGAGCCCCCCTTTTGCTTCACCTTGAAAATTCACACAGGCATACATGCTAGGATTTGATTAGTGGATGCTTGGAGGCATGCGGCTTGTTGATTAGAATTGGACGAGGACTGCATTTTGATGGGAACAGACATTACACAGACTCTTGCTCTCTCTCTCGCCGCATAAACAATTGCCCTCGTAGCTTCTCTGCAAACCCGCTTTGATTCTCTGCATAACTCTCTACTTTCTTGCAGTCTTTGGCCGCACTCTGTCACTCCCTCATCACCTCCATCCTTCTTTCTCCCTCTCTCATGATCATTCGTTTCCTTCCCCTCTCCTCCCAGTGGGAAGCCCCATTCCTCGCCATTGGCAGGTTCTCCAATCAATAGGATAAGGGGAAAAGCTGGCGAAAGAAAGAAACCGATGGCTTTTTTTCTATGAAGCTACAAATTACTCTGCTCTCTGCTGATTATTTTGTTACTATGGTACATTTACCTCTGTGGTGAGATGTGATTAACCAGCTCTTTGGGGGCCTGAGCCCTCAACTCCCATCGCAATCAGCCGCAATACCTAAAAGACTGCCTGAGATTTCATCTTCCTCTCGCACCTCTCTTCGACTACAAGTTAAATATGTTCAGAGAGCCTTATTCTGTCTACGTACACCCAAGAGACACCATGTACTGGAAATCATTACGATCCCTTTGGAGTGGCTGAAGCAAGGGGAAGTTACTGAACAGAAAGAAATAAAAGAAGGCATGAGCGAGTGGGGAAGAAAAAGAGTAGTATGAAGATCCATATTTAGGACATGGTGGCTTGTATCAGGTCCCTTCATCATAGCTTCTCTGTGCCCTGGGTTCTCTCTATAGTACAACAACATCCCTCCATGTTGGATGTTTTGATCGTCCTACAGCTCATTTGCATGTAGGGAAGGAAGAACTGTGTTTATAACTCAAGGGAAATGGTGACATGTATTCACAATATGTGCTAATTGTGGTAGGTACACATGCATACAATCATGCCTTTTTTGCTGCTTTTGGATTAATAGCCAGTGCAGAAGTTTATGTTGCATAATAAATAAATAATAAAAACACTGAACTGCAGTATGTGTTGTTGCAACCATTTGCGTTCTCCTGTAAAGTGCAGCATGATAGTATTTGACCTTTTGACTTTTGCCATTTTGTAATGAAACTGGCACGAGAGCTCATTTTGGCGCAAACTTTTTGCCTGTGAAAGTGTGGCGACATCAATCCTGCCACAGCTCAGCTAGGAGAGCACTGCCTCTCAGTCTCATCGGACCGTCTCTCCATTTTACTTTAAACAGCATTATCTTTTTCTCTCTCTTCTTGGTTCTCTTCACCAGTTCTCCTTTCCAGTTTCCAGTTTCCGGGTTGTGGTCAATTTCAGCTGTAATTTAGCCTTGGAAGCATACCCACACCTCTTGACACTGGCTCTCTGAAAATTGGCTATTGATGCTCACCGCTATTCTACACTTACACTGAGGCAATTTCACACAGTTCTGTGAAACCGCACTCAACCCAGCCCACCCAGCTGATCGCTTTTTTTGTGACCATAGTTTAAAGCAGGTGATCACAGACAAAGGCAGATGAGCTTTTTTCTTGCTCTTAGCTGCCTGATTTTAGTGTGCTTAACCACCAATTTACCAGTTATTCCGTTTGACCACTAAGGACTTAAGGACACAATGAATCACCGCTTGAAAATTGAATAAAATCCCTTAGTGCAAGTTTGTTTTTTACGTGTTTGTGGAAAAGAGTGGGGCTTGAAGTTCTTATATTGCAGTTATTATATTGGTTTTAGTTTTAGTGTTATTTTGTTTTAGACAAAATAGCATAGAAGTTTAATATTGAGCATTTATCAATTATCAGCCATAACATAAAAACAGTTATAAGCTTATTGGTATTTGCTTGTTTTTCACCCTAAAATGGTTTTAATGTCATTTTATGAAAATGAAATAAAAAATATTTTATTGGAATCTCTGCTTTGCTGGGCAATGTCATTACTGTTACAGGCAAATAAAAGCTTGTGTTTGCAGAAACATCTGTTACAGGCTGCAGTTGTAATTGAATGAACTCTCCAACCTGCTTCCTACACACAATGGGTTAATCGGTTTGTTTATGCTTATTGAATTCCCTCATTATTAATCAATGCCTCACTCGACACACTTCACCTCTCGTTATTGGAGAGTTAAATTTCCACCGTGGCAATTCCCACAGACAATAGAGGCCGAATCAATGGAGATGTAGAGCGAGAGATTGTGTCTGAATGGAATTAAAATAAACATCTTTGCTCCATTAGCAATGCCTTTCACTTTTAGCGCCAGGGGGAGAGCTTAATTTGTTGAAGAAGGTAGAATCTACTGACGTTAAATGGGCTCTGACAAACTTCACTCTGATAATACTTATTGACTTATGGTTCGGTCCAGGCATGTAATACAGTGTGGTTTATTTAGGTAATATAAAGTATGGACTTTTAGAGCCAATAGTGTAAACTGCTAGTTCCTAACTTAAATGGGTAGTTCACCCAAAAATTAAAATTCTGTTATCATTTACTCACACTCAAATTGCTCCAGACCTGTATGAATTTCTTTCTTCTGCTGAACACAAAAAAAATATTTTGAAGAATGCTGGTAACCAAACAGTTGATGGGAGCAATTGACTTCCATAGTATTATTATTATTATTATTTTGAACATTATCAGAATTACACTAACATTTTTTTTTTGTTCTCAGCTGGGTGCAGAGTTTTGGCCATGAGGGTCTGGGTCTCCTGTTGGACACGCTGGAGAAGCTCATCCTCAAAAAACAGTAAAACAAATTCCATTACCCATATTTCTTAATCAAAGGCATCCTGCTCGGTTTCAAACTATTTATGTTCTACCTCAGCATGTGTCCTGAGGTCATAACAGTTTAACTAAAATATTTGACTGTTTTTGTCTTCTAGTAACCCACTGAGCTCTGCTTGCTTTCACTTATTCTTGATTTTTGTGTTTGTTGTTTGTGTGTGTGTGTTTCCAGCCAAGAAAAAGTGGATAAGAAGAGTCAACACAAAGTCATTCAGTGCCTCAAGGCCTTTATGAACAACAAGGTAATAACGTCACCAAGCAGCGAGTTCACTTTATAACTACCTTCCACTTGAGATAACCTCATCTCATATTGGACAATTATCAGTTTTAAAGGCCACATGCAAACTGCACCTAAATATGGTTGTGATGACTCTTTTAAATGCGAGATCCACAGTCTTCAATCCCATTGATGTTTGTTGCAACACTGCTCAATTGCATAAAATTAAAATTAAATTTGCTGCTGTGAAAATATTTTTTATTCGCTTCCATATTTTCACCACCCCCTCAAATTTCCTTTTTTTATAGCAATAGTTTTATATTTGTTAAAATAATTTTACAATTATTATGTTTACAAAAATATTAAAATAGAAACGAATGGGAAATTATACAGCTATAACATAACACAACCCCTTAAATTCATTATGCTGAAAAACAAGTAGTTTTTGCTATTTTGACAAAACCTAATTTATGTCTGTCAGCTAGATAACATTATTTTAGAGACCAATCAGCAGAATTTGTACCAAAAAATGCAGAATACTTTACAGATAACCAATCATTTATGTTTGCAAGACATGATGTAAAAGATAAAGAAATGCAAGAATTTTAGTGATAATATAGCACTGCAATTGAAAGCCCAAAGCCAAGGAAGATGGCAGCCCACCTAAATCACCAACCAGCCAACCATCACATTAAATCAAAAGTTACAAGTGACAGAGAAAATGTAGAATAAAGTAACGAAAACGGTGTAAAAATGGTGTATTTATCTGCTGTGGATGTATTTCATGAGTTTCAGATGTACTTTTTTTGAAGTAGAAATCTCATCATTACCCTAAAGCACCAGCTTCAAACAAGACTCATTTCAGTCGCTGTGGCGTCTCAGCCGACCCCTTCATCAGCTGCCGCGTTACATCTCCGCTAACTCACCGCGCTCCCGCTCCTCCCCGCTTGACACACGTACCTGCGGCCGCTTTCAAATGGTCAGGAGCGATAAGAGGAGAGCTTCAGATGAAGGGGGCTGCAGACAGCCACCACTCTGAACTCGGGAGGGGGTTACGCCGCACGGCCGAGGTGGAGAGGTCTGAGGGGGCTTTTGATGATTTGCACACTCCTGTTAGAGAGATGTGTTAGAAGTGGATCTCCAGTGGTGTCTCTGATGTTGTTGATAGCCCGGGGTTTGAGGAGTTACCCCCGCCTCGTGCAAACATACATACGAGCATGGTAGAGATAGAGATCTGTGGGGTTTTGATCCATGTTCATTCACTGGGTATGTGGCAGATGTTAGACAGACATGTTGTCAGGTGTCAACATATCCCATGGTGTTTGAGTGAAGCTGAACTAATCTTATCTGAGAAGCTGTTAGCAGTCATCTATAAGCCTCGCTAAAAGGTCTGATTCTTTGTTGGAATGGCGTTCATCAATGGTATTTTCTAAAGTAAGCATTGGCATTGCAGTACATTGCTATTTGAGATTTGAAATAAAATAAGTAAATATTGATTTTATTCCAATTTTTTTTTTTTTTTTTTTTTTTTTTTTTTTTTTTTTTTTTTTTTTTTTTTTTTTTTTTTTTTTTTTTTTTTTTTTTTTTTTTTTTTTTTTTTTTTTTTTTTTTTTTTTTTTTTTTTTTTTGCTTTTGTTTTTAGTGTTTTATTTTTTGCTTATTTAGGCAAAATCATATAGAATATCTTCATTTTTTTTTATCAGTTATATTTTAAAATATTTTTATTTGCTTTAAAAAATATATATTTTTTTTTATTGGCCAGAATGTTAGTATTGTGGTTCTCTCTAAAAGGTATTAAACTTTGGCGAGTAATTTAGGCCAAAAACCACTAACAAAAACAGTTATATTGTAGAAAATGACTCAATGACTCACTCATTCAGTGACTTACCGCCACTTACTGGTAGTTTAGTTGAGAAGTTTGTTGAAAAGTATGCATTTTTCCCCTCAACATTTCTTATTTGTATATTCATAAATGCATTTAAAACATTAATCTCATAACATTATTTATTGCAGTTGTAATTACTGTTATTTGCAGTGTAAATGATTTAAACTGACTGGTAGCAGCCCTATAGTGTATATTGAATTTATTGATAACCCAAGCCTGCTTGAATGCAGTGGGGAAAGCAACATGTTAAGCAACATGATATGACCAAAAGCCTAGTTAAGCAACATGATATGACAAAAAGAGTGCAGTTTATCCTGGAAACCAGTATGACTGCAAATTTGACATTGATTTTATGCTAGAGTTACATTTACATTGTCATTTAGCAGACGCTTTTATCCAAAGCGACTTACAAATGAGGACAATGGAAACCATCAAAATCAACAAAAGAGCAATATGCAAGTGCTATGACAAGTCTCAGTTTGTGCTCGATTTAACGAAAATAGTTTCAAACAAAGATCACAGCATTAGTCGCACATGTCTGAGCAACACACATGGTGTTTCGTTACCAAATGATTCAGTGTATAGAACGAATCATTGATTCAATAACCCATTCATAAAGACAGGTTGGTTCATTCTTGAATGAATCAGCTGTCTGAACTAATTGTTTGAATGAATGACTCAATGACTCACTCATTAAGTGACTTACCGTCACTTACTGGTCGTTTATTTGAGAAGTTTGTTGAAAAGTATGCATTTTTCCCCTCAACATTTCTTATTTGTATATTCATAAATGCATTTAAAACATTAATCTCATAACATTATTTATTGCAGTTGTAATTACTGTTATTTGCAGTGTAAATGATTTAAACTGACTGGTAGCAGCCCTATAGTGTATATTGAATTTATTGATAAATTGTAATAATTTGACATGTAAGATGATGCATACATCTAAAAAGGTTAAAAATAGGCCTTTGTAAAGGTAAATATGCAGATTTAAGTATGTAAAAGCTGATAGAACACTGATGAAAATATTGCTTCAGAATAAATTGTTTACTCCACCAAAAATCTCAGTGATGCAGTTATTTTGTGGGGATATTTTGTATGGAATATTGTCTGCTGACATGGAAAGTTCACTGTATATCATAGTAATAAATACCATTTATTACAGCATTGATATTTTGTTTTCTTTTTAATTTATACACATTAAATATTACATATATGTATGTAATAAAATGTGCATTTCCATTACAGGTTTAGGTCTTAAATTTCATATAAGGTGGTATTAAAAAGGTCTTAAAAAGTCTTAAATTGAACTTGTTCAAGTCTGCAGAAACCCTGTACTGAATTATATTTGATTGTGCTAAAGTTAAACTATTGCAAGTATACTTTAGGTACACTTTAAAAATCATGCTTTTAAAGACTGATATTTTTCAAAGATCATTCAATCCTCATCAATACTGATATTAAAACACATTTTAGGCTTAATTTTAAGAAATGTGCATTGTGCACAAGTAGTACTCCAAAATAAGTTTTTTTTTTTTTATATCAGTAAGTTTCAAGCGATATGTCAGTAAATATGTTGATAGATTTGAGTTATACTTAGTATGAAATAAATGTATTTTAAATGGATTACTTTTTTACTAGGGTCACTTTTGACAATTTTTAATGCATCCTTACTGGGGGAAAAAGAAAACCTAGAGCCTGACAGGGCACTACAAACACTCATTTGAAACACTCATTACAAAACATATTTGCAGCCGCATAGCAAAGCTTTGGCAACCACCCAAAATGGTTGTGAGATTGGTACATTTTTTAACAACAAATGTAAAAATCTAGTCATTATCTACAGTATGTAATTAGTTTTCTTTTCCTCAGGAGCTTCACAAGTTGACTTCATTTTTTTTTCTATAACTGTATTCAATTGTCACGTCATTGACTCTAATTGACATGCCATTTGTTTAAAATGGAAACAAAGCAATTAAGCGCATCAGTGCATTTTTCAGTTGGAAATCTGTCATGGTCACCCACTGAGGAAATATAAATGGGTTGAGGCCATTGTTGTTTTCCCAAGGCCTGTTTCTGTAGGATCAAAGAAAAAAAAAATCACTCTCTGCATCTATTTCTGTGTAGTCATTCTGGGAATTAATTTGTTGGAGATCCCAGTTGTGTTTTCTGCGAGTTTCAAAATCTACTACTCGCACCCCCCAGCCCTGAAGGTCAGGTGTAATCCCAAGCACCCGACAGGTGCCACGAGCCTTATCTACCCAGAGGCCTGTCACAGCTCCAGACCTCTCACTTCAGCCCCACAGCATCATGGGACGCATTCTGCCCATGTTGCCTGCCAGCCAGGTGCTCCCGTCCAGCTGTCACCAACTCCCGCGGAATGAAGACAGAAAATGGCTCAAATATGTTTACATCCATTACTGCGCATAAACACTGTGATAACGCGCTATCTCCCCTGTGCCTCTGAGGCGGGAAGGATGTTTTCATACCTAAGTTTGCATAAAAAAGAAAAACTGCAGAAACATCTGTTCTGAATGACTACAAGGCTGAGATATGGCAGTTGGAGCCATTAATTGGCATGAGTTATGAAGCAATTAACACAACTTGGTGAATTTGCTGTCCTAAAGCTTTTTAGTCAGAAATTAATTGACTCAGGATGATTCATGTCTTGAAAATTGCTAAACTTGAGTCACAAGTTATTTTGTGCTGTTGCAAGATGGCGACAGATTTGGGTCTTCCAAATTTAGTCACATGATGACCCATATTTTGTTAATTTCTAAATAATCAGATCATGTAAATTCAGAATTAGGATTTTAACCATTACACTCACACACACTCACAGTCAACTTTTAGTGAACCATTTCATGCCAAGTGAATCTATTACATGTAAAGATTGACAGAGTAGAGAGAGATAGTCTTTTAAGTTACATCACAGTGTTTTGAATTAATGAGAAATTCGTCCTGTGGTGTTGGTGCTGCGGTCGTCATTAACCGAACCCCCCTGTGTTCAGACGTGGATATTCTCCCCTCTTTGACTCCTCGCTTCTCTCTCAGGTCTCGATCTGCTCTTGTCGTTTCAGACCCCCAAGGCTTTTCTGTCCTGTGTCTGTGTTCTTCATTCACCTTTATGCTTGCCATTTCTTTCTTTCTTTCTTTCTTTTTTTCACCCTCCCTCTCTCTTTCACGCTACTATTATCATATCCCTGATCGCAGTTTTGTCATTACTTCAAGGACAGAGCAACAGGCAGCTACGTCGTGTCCTTCTTTGGTTCCTCCACTTTTTAAAAGAGTCACCTCTAATTTAAACTAAAACTTTTTTCCATAGTTACTACTTTGTATTTAATGTATCCCTCAGTATTTCCAATCCCTTGGAACGTATTTATAATAATGTACCCTTTAGATTAATGCTTGATTTGCTTGATTTTATTAAAGGGGTCATATGATGCAATTTCAAGTTTTCCTTTCTCTTTGGAGTGTTACAAGCTGATTGTGCATAGATAAGATCCCTGAGAGAGAGACAGGGTCACATCACAGTGGATTCAGCTGTCTTAACCGTGGCTTGTGTACTGCAAACACATACCAGCTTCATCACTGTGTCTGTCACGCGACTGTTCACCTTTCGGGCTTGAACGGTTGAACTTGATGGTAAGATGGCTTGATGGTGAAACTAATGACATTATTTACTGTCTTTACATTTATTTTGAAAGATGAAGCTCGCGATTATGGTAAGGGGCGTTACATTTCCGACGAGTGCTTGCGGTGTTCGTCCAATCACAATGCACTGGGTCAGCTGGCCAATCAGAGCAGACTGTGCTTGTCGGAAGGAGGGACTTTGTAGAAAACGAAGCGTTTGAGAGAGGCGGGGCATAGAGGACCTACAATAATGTACAGTATTTGAAAAATAATGTGTTTTTTGAACATTAAAGCATGTCAACATATTCTGTTACACCAAATACACAAAATAATGATCTTTAAAAAAGCATCATATGACCCCTTTAAATAACATGTATTATAAGTAATAATTATTTTATTGTTGAATATTGTTGTGTAGTGTATTTTTTGTGGTTTTGTTTTTTGTTTGCATTTTTGTGCAAGAATAAGTCATTTAATTCTTGTTTTTTTTTGTTTTGCTTCTTTAGTGCATTCATTCTGTTCAAATTAGATTGATTGAATTGATCTTTTGCTGAGACAGTGTAGTTTTAGCAGTGGTTCAGTGCCACCGTGGAATAGCATTGCAGGAAACACTGGGCAATGTCTTACATAAGTTTTTTTTTTCTGTCTGTCTGCAGTATGGACTGGAGCGGATCCTTGGAGAGGAGAAGAGTCTGGCACTGTTGGCCCAAGCCATTGACCCTGGTCAGCCAGCCATGATGACAGATGTGGTCAAACTGCTCTCTGCAATCTGCATTGTGGGAGAAGAAAATACGTAAGCCTCCCTTCTCACTTTTTCTAGCCTTTCAGTTGAAATCAATTTGGTTATGATGCGATTATTGTTCTTTCTTATTTCAGCCTGATTTCATAATTTAAGCCCCCTCAGTTATATGCTTTCTGTTGGAGTTTTATGCCCCTATTGTGATTTTTAACATAAACATTGTCAAATAGGGTATCATATATGCATTTCATATATTTTTAAGTGTTCGAATGCTTTTTGGGCCACCGCATCATAATTGTGGCATTTTCTCTGATGCAAACTTACATCATTATTTAATGTAATTTCTTCTTTTACTGTTAGTTACTATTTGCTTCAGCTCTCCTCCTGCGAACACAGTTTGTGCGATAGCATAGTTTTGTAACATTTTTACTGATTTTTTTTTCTTCTTTTGCATTTTTATTTTTATTTTTTTGGTCTTTTGGCATTCAGGATATAAGCACAGCATTCATTTAGTTCAGATGCATAAAGCATTTATCATGACTACTTAATCTCTCTTTTAAATATCAGCTTCATGTAAGCACTGAACATGTGCAATTGACAGGTGCACTCAAAGCATCCTCCATACCAGAGAGAAGTGCAATCCCAGCATAACCCTCAGTGAAAAAATGTAAAACCAAATCAAATCCGTAACCCTTTTACTTTTACTTATTTCCTGCATGAAGTTTGGAGAAGGTGCTTGAGGCCATCACCACAGCAACTGAGGGAAGAGGGGTGGCCCGCTTTAACCCTATCGTTCAAGGTCTTAGTGTGCGCTCCGTCCAATTACAGGTAAGCGTTCACTGCTCCTCATCTGCCTTCTTGTTCACTTGTCTTCTGCTGATACAGTTCTACCAATGCCCTCGTGACTTCAATACACACTCAGTTACATATACATATTTATACCTATGATAGCTGCAATAGAAAAAAAAACATGCAAATAGATAGTGCCACTGGTGCCACTCTCTAAAGAAAATATGTGAAAATGTTCTTTTATTTGATCTTATTTTATTTTATTTTATTTTTTCCAAGCAATGGCTACATCTTAAAAAAAATGCACAAATATCTGTTCAAAATCCCTAGTGGTCTATTAATGGGCTCTTCTGTAATAAAGTAACATTACCCACTTTCACATTGCTGTTTGCACTATTGTGACAGACTGGTGTTGTGTGTATTGCTCATATGGGGAAATACATTTGCTTTATATACTATTCCATTTTGAAAGTTTCCCTCAGAGATTTGAGGGCAGGTAAATGGTCATGCTGAGATGAAGCACCAGCAATTTGCTTGATAGTGACTTCAATATAACGATGAAGTCACAGGCTCTGAATCACCTCTGAAACACAATTTACACTTTAAAATCCCCCAGCGACTGTGTATAGAGGCCGTCATGAAAAGGATAAGAAAACAAATGAGCATATCTGCTTGTTAATGACCAGTCCTTTATATAAGAACACATTTCAAAAGCTTATGCAAGTAGATGCCTAATGCTCCTTTAAGCCGTACGGTGCTTATGCAGGCATGAAATTCGTTTATTTAAATGAAACATTATAAAACTAACTTAATTTCCTGTCCCTTTCTGACAAGTCAACATGACCTTTTGTTTAGCCAGCATGCTCAGGGGCTCAGGACACTTGTAAAGCACAGAGATTAGTGCTGCCAGTTACAGCTCTTCATTTGCATTGTAAAGCATAAACTGCCATTAGTCAAACATCCCTGATGAGATTTACCATAATCATTCCAGAAATTATTAATAATTTGATTAGGGGTATTTAGTCCTGTGCCCGCAAATAAGACGGAAGTGCACCATGAGTCAGGGTCTGTAAACCACAGATCTTGTAATGGACAGTTTACTCCAACAATAGAAAATTGACATCAACTTCATTTGATATTCTACATTCATAAGCCTTGATTGACTCTAATAACAAAATAGATCATAACTAAATCAAAGCACTAAAATATATAATTTATCATTTAATAATTAAAGGGGTATCTATCTATCTATCTATCTGTCTGTCTGTCTGTCTGTCTGTCTGTCTATCGTTCTATCAATCGTTCTATCTATCTATCTATCTATCTATCTATCTATCTATCTATCTATCTATCGTTCTATCTATCGTTCTATCAATCGTTCCATCCATCCATCCATCGTTCTATCATTCTATCCATCGTTCTATCTATCTAGCCATCGTTTTATCTAACTATCGTTCTATCTATCTATTGTTAGTTTTGTCTATCGTTCCATCTCTCTGTCTGTCTATTGTTCTGTCGTTCTATCTACCGTTCGTTTGTTCTGTCGTTCCATCGTTCTGTACCGTTTGTTCTAACTGATTTTTTTATTGTTCTGTCTGTCTGTGTATTGCACATAGACAAGACTGATTCATTCATATTTATCGAAAGGGGAGAAACCAGTTTGTGATTTATGTAAGATTCTTTTGAGTATGGAACATATTTGAATAGAATGTCCATTTTTAAATTATAATAGACAGTATTTTTATTTAGAATATATTAAGGGTTAGTTCACCCAAAAATTAAAATTAACCTGTGTTTTACTCACCCTCAAAGCATCCTAGGTGTATATGATTTTCTTCTTTCAGTTGAATCCAGTCGGAGTTATATTAAAAATTGTCCTGGCCCCTCCAAGCCTTTCAATGGGGGCAAGTGGGTGTTGGTTGTCAACAGTTCAGAAGACGTTCCGGCAGATGACGTATGCATCGTGCGCGCACCTCTGAGAAATGCAGGAGCAAAGGAAACAAAGTTTCCTTACTTTAGCAAAGGAAAACCAGTCTCCTCTTGGCTTATATCGAAATCCTCCGAAATTTTTCTTTACAAATCCTCATTTTGTACTTCTAATTCGTGAACGGCGTTTTGTTTTGTCTCCGCGTTCGTCACTTATCACGCAACGTCGACGTCTTACGTCATCCGCCGGAACGGCTTCCACATATGACAGTCAGCGGAAGTGAGAAAAAAGTCTATTACGTTTGAAATATGGATATTTATCTTACAAAAATGCATGGATTCGCTACAATAGGCCTTTATTCACCCCCCGGAGCCGTGTGAGGGACATTTTATTAATGATGCGTGCACTTTATTTCACGTCTTCTGAACTGTTGACAACCAACACCCGCGTACCCCCATTGAAAGGCTTGGAGGGGCCAGGACAAGTTTTTTTATATAACTCAGATTGGATTCGTCTGAAAAAAGAAAGTCACATACACCTAGGATGCTTTGAGGGTGAGTAAAACACAGGCTAATTTTAATTTTTGGGTGAACTAACCCTTTAATGGACATTTTTAAAAAGGTTTCTTCTGAAATAATTTTAGAATTTTTATCCAATAGTAAGTTAAAAGACTATATAATTGTTATTGCTATTATTGTTGTTATTATTTGTTTATATTTTTATAACAAAATTGTTAAATAATAACATTATATGGAAAGGATATTGATTGAATTAAGTGATGCAATTTAATTGTTTTTTCCATGAATATGGCCATTGCTGCTGATGTGGTGTTAAATCGTAAATAAATAAATCTGTGTCTGTCTGTCTATTGTTTTATAATTTGACTAACTGTTGGCCTATGTTACTTTCTGTCTCTCTCTTAAACTAATATTAATTTTGTAAAAAAAAAAAAAAAAACCCTTGCAACAAAAAAGTTTTTTTTTAAAAAACAATTTATACAAGGATTTATACAAGTCAGCCTGTATGTCTGGCTCTGGGCTCTCTTGTTGCAGCATATGTGCATGCATTCAAGTGAGGCCTGCATGCTAATACTCGTGACCTGCCCAGCTCCTCTGCAGAGTGCAGGCCCTACAGAACGACATGCGCTGGTTCGCCTGCGTTAACTGAGTGGCTTCATTGTTGAGACTGATCAAAGTAGCCGTGTTTTAGTTTAATTGGTAGCAGAGGGAGGTGAAAGAGAGGCACTGAGCTTTCCCTTCAAACATGCATAGAGAGAACTTTCACATGCTTTCTCATATCCAGCATTCAGGATAAACCTCTAACTCAGCAGTTAATGTTGCAGCTAAAATTATATTCTTTTAACATAATGACAGAATTGAATGCTTTACTGTGACCTGCAGAGTGCAAAATATGTAGTAGTTCTGCGGCTCTTATGGTTCGCATGGATTTGTGCACAAATAATTCCTCTTCCAGTCCAAAATAGTGTTGAATAGTTTATACGAAGCAATTGAACACTCTACAATAGCAGGTCACACAGGAAACGGCCCCTTATTGGCCAGATTTTCTCCATTAGACCGGAATTGATGAAATGAGAGGAGAAAAATAACCAAAAAACATCCAAGGCATGCTGTTTAATATCCATGAAGGCCAACTGGTGTGTTTAGAGGCCTCTAGTAATGTTTTATTGATTGACTGGTTATTGTTCCTGTTTGCTAATAGTCAGCTGTGATCTCTTTTAACCGTATGAATCGTTTATCAAAGGCTGTTATAACTGGGAACAGTTTGGAGTTTTCTTTAGGGTTTCTCTTTCTCTCTCCACTCTTCTGTTCTTGCTGGAGATATTTAGGGGCTGTATCTTCAAATAGATGCTCTTAGAGCACACACCCAGACTGCATAAAGTTCAGTTTGTTTATGTAAGAGTGAGAGGTAGGGTGCGCTCAGCGTCGACAGTAGACTGCACTGGAGAGGGTTATTTTTAAAGAATTTTTCAAGAGAGCTTGAGGATACCAAGTATTTTCGTTTTGCATGTGTCTGTGTGCTCATCCATGGGAGTTAGTAAATGATTCAGCATGTTTTTTTATCACTTCATAATTTGTGTTTTCATGTCTATGTCTAGTGGATATTTCTTTTAGCTCTGTATTGCTCTGAGCTAATGGAGAGTGAGTGATTCTCACAGGAATATATTTTCTCTTTCTCTCCTCATCCTGTCCACTCACCACTCCCGCCTCTTGCCAGGCATGTGAAGTAGGCAGATTAAGAAAACTGTACGGTTATTAATGGCAGATATGTTTTCCTTTTCCCTCATGAAAGCTGTCAGCAAGTGTCTCTTACAGGCTCAACTTTGCTGAGATTCCTCCCGCAGTTCAACCGCTGAGCCACACAAATATGAATAATACAATGTTATCGTCTCTTAAATCAAAGGGTTTTGCCTGTGAAAGACTTCTGCTCATTTTTTCTTGATTTTTGCTGTGTGAAAATATCATAAATATACTGCCCATCATTACTGACTAAATATTTATTTAGTATCATAATCTTGTGTTTTGAGCTTTGAGTTTAGGATTATAAACATTGACTACAATTATTTGGCCATTTGAGTAAAAACATTATAATTATATAATTTTCAATTAATCAACTGGTGGTTTTTATGAACCAGTTCTTTTTAGTAAATCAGAATCATACAGCAATCATATGAGCCTGTCCATTTAGTGCATCATTCAAAGGACACATGAACTCAGGAGTTACAGTTTAAATAGCTGACGGATCCATTGATTGAACTAAATCAATTGTGTAACATCTTGATTTTTATTGACGTTTATTATTGTCTTTTGTTTTGACCCCATGAGTTTAGGATAAGAAATATTGCCTCCCATTTTTTATGCATTGATTATTTGATTAATCACAACTTGAACTGGTAACCAATATTTTTTTTTGTGCATCCAAATCATACAGCACAATCAGTATTGTCTGATTCACAAACAAGTGACTCTTTCAGGCCTGTCCTTTTATCGAATTATTTAAAAAAACTCTACTTTTACTGTATGAATATGTCTGAAAAAATCATGTGCCATCACAGCCTGTCAAGTTGAGACTCACCACTATAAATAATTTGGAATTGGTGTGGTTTATTATGTAATAATCAATTATTGCATCATCAGACATGATGTGAACAGAAGGTCCAGGCACACAGAGCTATACAGACAGTTCACTGTCTGTTCAATACGGCTCAGTCACCTGAATGCACCAGTGCCTTTTAACTAAACACTCCCTCTCACACGTGTGATTTAGAGTGTTGTGGAGAAGGCTGATCAATAATTGATGATCTGTGTTGCTTGAGGAGATGAATAGTAGTTTTTGACTGAGGTGATGGAATCCTTTATGTTGGCTGAGAGCTCAGTGAGAGTCATAAACCACAGTGATGCTCTTCAACAGGTCCAAACTGCAGTCTCATATACATTCCCTTGAAAACAAGCTTCAGTGAGACATTCAAAGCCATTAACTTTTGCTTTCAAATTAAGCTTTGTAAACTAGTGAAAAAAAATCATCAAGGCTAATTGAAGATTACTGACATCAATTACTGATCATTCCTGTGATGCAAAGCTGAATTTTCAACATCCTTACTCCAGTCTTCAGTGTCAAATAATCCTTCAGAAATCATCCTAATATGCTGATTTGTTGCTCCAAAACATTTCTTCTAATTATCAATGTTAAAAACAGTTGTGTTACTTAATAATATTATTATTGTGGAAACCGTACTTTGGTAGTATATTTATGTATAAGGGACCTTGTGTATTTTGGTACTGGTTACCATTACTTTTACATTATTTATTATTTTTTAAATAACTTTTTTTTCACTTAAATGGTTCTTTGACAAATTCGGTTTAATCAATCCTAATACAAATATTCCATTTAGTATTTCAGCACGGTTACATATAATTCAAATGCATACCCTCAGACCTGCATATGTATACACACACATACTCTTACTGAATGTTATCTTCTTCCTTTAGGTGGCTTGCATGCAGCTCATCAATGCCCTCGTAACGTCTCCTGATGAGTTGGACTTCAGGCTGCACATCCGAAATGAATTTATGCGCTGCGGCCTGCGAGAGATCCTGCCGGTAAGCGGCTCGACCACTGCCTGTGTATTAATATTTAAATGAGTTGTCCACTTGAGTGAAATATTGTAAAATTGATCTGCGAATAATTTATAAGGCCTGAAGGAGAGGTCGCTCTGCTGTATCAATACCTACAGCCAGGATTGGATTGGTTTCTTTCTCTCGGTCTGTCTCCTCTTGGCATTCTGAATGTGGTTATGTTCTATCAACAAATGACTGAAAACTGCCTGAACAAAACAGGAGAAGTGTGTGAAATGAAAGCCAGGGAGTGTGGAAGTGAGATAGATTAATGCCTCACGCATGACTTATTTATTATTCAAAACAGAAGCTGCCTCAGAAACAGGACTTGGGAATACAAAGAGACGGAATGAAAGCGAAATGATTATTTTCTCTTTCTAAATACACATTTTTGAAAATGGTGTTTTGTCACTGTTTCTCTTTTCTCTCTCATAAAGTGCCCAATATTCCACAAATTTGTCTTATTTTCCTCTCAAAGTCTACTTGAAATGTTAGTCATGCTTTCTTGCAACAAAAGCAGTTGTATATAAATTTTCCCTCAATTTCTTTTTCTAGCTGCTTTTTTAGAATAACACCTGCTGTTTTTACTACTATATTTGTATGATTTCTATATGCAGTTAACCTCTGTTCTGATTGGCTAACCTCTTCGCATATGAAATGAGCAAAAAAAAAAAAAAAAAACCTCCCACCAGCTTTCTGAATACTGACTAGATGTTTGTGGAAATGTGTTAATGTGCTTGTGATTCAGACATCAGAATTGTTGTTTTTTACAGCTTAGGCCAAGTGTATAAAACATAAAAAGTAAAACATTTGCAGTTTATTGATTTCTGTTGTGTTGGTGCACACTGTACACAGCTAATTCCAGACTATATTAATCAATTATGAAGTCCGTCGCACCTCATTCTTGTAGTGTGTGCTTGCCTTTAGTGTCCAGCAATAGTTTGGGTGGACTAACAGGGAACTTTGAGTTGTATGTCTACGTCCAGTAGTACATCAAAGCCTTTATTTCAAAAGTCCAAGGAATATCATGTTTTCTGTGGCATGGTCCATTTAATCTGCTCTTTTCTTCTCTTTGTTTCCCCTTGCCCTTTATGCTGTGTAGACCCTGGACACTGTAAAAAATGATGCTCTGGATATCCAGCTGAAGGTCTTTGAGGAGCACAAGGAGGAGGACATGATTGAGTTCTCCCATCGCCTGGAGGACATCAGAAGTGAACTAGAATATCCTTCTGACGCTGAGATGCATGCAATTTCATTTGATACTCTGTCCACACTTAAACGCTCCTCAGAAAACTCTCCCTCCCCTGTGTCGTCTTCTCTTTCTTTGTCCCATTCATTCTTTGATCCTTAGAGGACCTCCAACAGTAAAATGTTGGCCATATGCAAACTGTATTAATATCTTCAGAAACCATGGACTGACTGCATTGATTTTGTTTTCTTAGATTTAATCATAACCATAAATCATCCTGAATCGTTTGCTTTCATTAGCAGTGTTTTACAAGTCTCATGCTGTGACAAGGCTAGTCAGTAGTTCTTTGCTCTGTCTTTGTGTCTGCACTGCATGTATTAAGAGAGTGTATGCTCTTTTCTTCTGTATGTTTCCATCGGTTGCTTTTATTTTGGCAGTTGCAGCGCTTGATTGTTCCTTAACAAAGTGCGTACTGATATCGGAGATGTCTTTAATGTGTTATACTGCTCTGTGAAGGACACAAGCGCCGAGAGCAATTTTCTTTCCATACTACAGCACCTGCTGCTGGTCAGGAATGACTATTTCACACGGTGAGGGTTATTTAATTTTTTTGTTTTAAAGTTGACTGAATAGTGAATGAAAAGCACCCAACAAGTGGCCATGTAATGTAGATAGAGTGTGGCTACTTTCATGTTAAACATTTTACTTATTTACTACGCCTTTCCCATGCATCTGTTTCTTTCATTGTGTTGGTTTTGCATTTATTGTTGCTAATTTAAGCATTTTCAAATGATATTAAATAATGAGTAGGTGTGTTTGAACTTTTAAATGGTATTGTGTGCACAAGGACCTTTCATAAACCTAAGGAAAAAGAAAATGTCTTTCAAAACCTATTCGGGCCCTTACAAGTCACATCACATTCATCTTGTATTCGTGAATTTTTATGAAAATGCCGCCTCTCCTCCCTTTCAAACCTAGTCTGAGGTTTTTATTAATTTCTGACTAATTAGTGCTAGTGATGCAACGGCATATATCTCCCGGCGTTAAGGTCTCGCTAATGACTCAATGTGTTGTGTGTTGGAGAACAGCTTTTGAAGCTCTTTAGCCGGTGAGCTGTATTGTGTGAAGAATAACAGCTTTGACAGAAGAGAGAAGTGCAAAGGGAAACAGGTGTAAAGATAGAGACCATCTGCTGAGCACCGGTACAGAAAAGAAGTGCCCATTCTGCTTAGAGAGATATCTATCTCTATGTCTTCCACTATATCTTCTGTATATCTTTCGCTTTATTGATTGTTTATTCGCTCTATTGAGTTTGTTCACTCTGTCGTTCCCTCTACCGATTGTTTAATCGTTCTGTCGCTCTATCAATCACTCTATTGAACGTCCGTTTGTTCTATTGATCTTTTGTTCACTCTAACGATTGTCGTTCACTCTATCAGTCATTTTATGTCTGTCTGTCCTTCGTTATATCAGCCTTTCATATATTTTGCCATAATTCAGGTAGGTTTGTATTTGTCAACATGAACAAAGTTTTTAAAATTGTAGTTTATTATATAGATATCTGGAGGGAAGTCTTGGCGAAAAATGTTTATCTCCTATGCTGCAGTTAATCCTGAAAATATAAGTATCCCAAAGCGTTCTTTACTTGTTTCTAAACTGACCAAATAAATTCGGCTCTGACCAAATAATAATAACTTTGTTGTGTCTCCTCCTCAAGTCCTGCTGGTAAATTGGTCAATTTTTATTAAATGGTCCCAGTAAGCTCTTCTCACCATATAAACATTTCTTTCTAAACTCTGTCCATGAACGCCATTTATTCTACATGGGCAGTCCACATGCCATGCTGGTCTCTTCCCCCCAAACCATCCAATGGCAGTGTCCAACAAAGAGAATAAACCTGCTTTCATCTTCCTCTCATCACACATGCCCACATTACTCTTCCCCTTCCCTATATAAATGTGTTATACTGCTCTGTGAAGGACACAAGCGCCGAGAGCAATTTTCTTTCCATACTACAGCACCTGCTGCTGGTCAGGAATGACTATTTCACACGGTGAGGGTTATTTAATTTTTTTGTTTTAAAGTTGACTGAATAGTGAATGAAAAGCACCCAACAAGTGGCCATGTAATGTAGATAGAGTGTGGCTACTTTCATGTTAAACATTTTACTTATTTACTACGCCTTTCCCATGCATCTGTTTCTTTCATTGTGTTGGTTTTGCATTTATTGTTGCTAATTTAAGCATTTTCAAATGATATTAAATAATGAGTAGGTGTGTTTGAACTTTTAAATGGTATTGTGTGCACAAGGACCTTTCATAAACCTAAGGAAAAAGAAAATGTCTTTCAAAACCTATTCGGGCCCTTACAAGTCACATCACATTCATCTTGTATTCGTGAATTTTTATGAAAATGCCGCCTCTCCTCCCTTTCAAACCTAGTCTGAGGTTTTTATTAATTTCTGACTAATTAGTGCTAGTGATGCAACGGCATATATCTCCCGGCGTTAAGGTCTCGCTAATGACTCAATGTGTTGTGTGTTGGAGAACAGCTTTTGAAGCTCTTTAGCCGGTGAGCTGTATTGTGTGAAGAATAACAGCTTTGACAGAAGAGAGAAGTGCAAAGGGAAACAGGTGTAAAGATAGAGACCATCTGCTGAGCACCGGTACAGAAAAGAAGTGCCCATTCTGCTTAGAGAGATATCTATCTCTATGTCTTCCACTATATCTTCTGTATATCTTTCGCTTTATTGATTGTTTATTCGCTCTATTGAGTTTGTTCACTCTGTCGTTCCCTCTACCGATTGTTTAATCGTTCTGTCGCTCTATCAATCACTCTATTGAACGTCCGTTTGTTCTATTGATCTTTTGTTCACTCTAACGATTGTCGTTCACTCTATCAGTCATTTTATGTCTGTCTGTCCTTCGTTATATCAGCCTTTCATATATTTTGCCATAATTCAGGTAGGTTTGTATTTGTCAACATGAACAAAGTTTTTAAAATTGTAGTTTATTATATAGATATCTGGAGGGAAGTCTTGGCGAAAAATGTTTATCTCCTATGCTGCAGTTAATCCTGAAAATATAAGTATCCCAAAGCGTTCTTTACTTGTTTCTAAACTGACCAAATAAATTCGGCTCTGACCAAATAATAATAACTTTGTTGTGTCTCCTCCTCAAGTCCTGCTGGTAAATTGGTCAATTTTTATTAAATGGTCCCAGTAAGCTCTTCTCACCATATAAACATTTCTTTCTAAACTCTGTCCATGAACGCCATTTATTCTACATGGGCAGTCCACATGCCATGCTGGTCTCTTCCCCCCAAACCATCCAATGGCAGTGTCCAACAAAGAGAATAAACCTGCTTTCATCTTCCTCTCATCACACATGCCCACATTATATATACTCTCTCTCTCTCTCTCTCTCTCTCTCTCTCTCTCTCTCTTTTCATCTGTGGCGTCTGCTCAAAGAGAGTTTTCATGTCTTTGAGCTCACAGCTGGAGGTGTGTTAAACCTGGTCTTGATCAAAAGGCAAGCTCCTAATATGTAGAATACAGGATATATTACTCAGTTTTTAAAAACCACTGCAGATAGGCAGTATATACCTACAACATTAATATACACATTCACATGCCAATTGGTGTGCTATTCAGGTCAAGGAGTGATCGTTTAGCTCTTTCATTATGGAAATGATTATGCCATGACCGCATGACTGCATACACTTAGGCTATGCTTTATTATTTGTTTTCTATTTTCTTTTTATGGTCAGTTATTCCATAAAGGGAATGTAGGTTTATGTGTCCTTAATGCTGACTCACTCTAAAATTGAAAATATAGTAACTTGAATTTTATATCCTAATTTATGTAAACCATATAAGCATGTTGGAGATTTCACTATGTGGTTGATTTGGCCACTTTATTTGTGCTGTAGTCAAGTATATCAATTAGTGAACATGATTAATGGCACTAGAATACTAAGACTGATTTTGATTATAATTGCATTTGAGAAATTATTATGCTGTATTTTGGGTGTCAACTTCACAGTACCATGTAGAAATGATTCCTGTAAAAGGTCAGAATGATGACCTCAGATCAAAGAGCATCACCTCAGCCTGACTGATCCTAATTATTTCCACTTTCCCCTCCAAAGCTCTGCTAACTTCACTCATTTTAAGAAAAGACTCTCAAATTCTGTATTGTGCCACAAAGGCTAGATTTATTAAACATGTCAACCCAGTTTATAATTCACTATTTACTTCAGTTTTTTTATTCAAATATATAACTATATATTTAACAGGGATAGAAAAGCCAGACTCCTTATTGCCTGGCTGCAGTTTTAAATTATACTTTAAAATGCGGCTGAGTTCACTCTACGGTATCTCGTACGTCATCCCTTCTCACTTTTGTTATGTCTCTCTCCATATTCCTCTCCATTTTTATGTCTCTCTTTCTCTTTTATGCGAGTGTCGAGCAGCATCGCAGATTTAAAGGACTCAGTCATTTTCATCGCACCAGTTAATAGGTTGTATAAGCCAGTATCACTACTGTCAGAGGATTTAGAGTTAATTTTACAATTTTTCAAATTTTGTGCCTGAGTCAGTGGTACCGTATTCTCAAAAAGATAATACAATGCACTGATTTTTCTTCCCTCCTCGCTCTCTCTTATTCTCTCTTGTTCTCTGTCCTCCAGGCCTCAGTATTTTAAGATCATAGAGGAGTGTGTCTCTCAAATCGTCCTCCATCGTAGTGGCACAGATCCTGACTTTGCCTACCGCAAGCGTCTGGATGTGGACTTCAGCCACCTGTTAGGTGTGTATGCTTTTCTATTTGAGCAAGTTAGTTTGTTTACTTCAAACTGAAATGGTTAATCTCTCCGTGCTTTCTCTGCAGAGGTGTGTGTGGATAAAGCCAGGGCCGAGGAGTTTGAACAGAGGGCCTTAGAGTTAGCTCAAAAGGCAAGTGCCCTTTCTTTCCCTCCTCTTTTTCTTCCACCCCTCCCTTGTTTTCTGTTTCTTTCTTCTCACTCTGGCTCCTCTAATGAAGTATGTGGCCTATGAAGACCATTCACGACCGCACCATTTAGCTTTCTTTAATTAAGGCAAGATTACTTGAAATCGTTCAAACAGCCATTTGTGATTAACAGTATTCTGAGATTAAAAAGGCCCTTGTATTGATTGTTGGGAGCGTTCCTTTATAATTGTGGGCCGAAGTGTACGTGGTCGAGGGCAACAGATCTATATAACCACAGCTCTTTAACTACATCCTTTCCAGATAACTAGTTAACTTTTAAAACTAGCAGAACTGCTTTTTATGGCTTTACATCTAAGAAATGAACTCGATGAATGAAAACTTGTTGGGTTAGGATGGTCATACTAAAGTGCATTATGATGCACTTTTTTTTTTTGCAATGTAGGCATGAAAATTTACAGTCAGACATTTTTTAAGAAAGTAAACTTTTTTTTGTGAAGACTAGTTTTGTGTTTTAAAAGGTTGTGTGGTATGTTTCAGTACACTACTGTTTGGTGTCGGTAAGATCTGTTTTAGAAAATGTGTCCAGCTTATTTAATAAAAATATTCTTAAGTAACTCTTTTCATAGTCCTTTAATTGAATTTGTGTTTTGTATTTTTCATACTAGTGTAATCATATTTTATTTCAATAATTAGTGCTCAGCATTAGTACATAATGCTAACAGAAAAAGACATTTAAGCAGCGTTCAAACATCAGTAGAAGAATGGTTATGTTTTTGTGTGTGTGTTTTTGTCATCTCTGTTGATATGATTTTTGTTTTCCAGTTTGATGAGGAGTTCCTGGGCAGACAGGAAGCTCAAGCCCAGCTGTTGAAAAGAGAGGAGAAGATCAATGAGCTGGAAGCTGAACTTCAGGCTTATAGAAACCAGGTACCTCTGCTTTTCTCTCTCTTTGTTTTGGCCACTTCTGTCATTTTTTTTGATTGCATTGCTGCTGGGATTCCCTTCTCTTTCTTTTCTCACTGTTATTTTAGTTCTGTCTCTCCTTCTGGTTTCTGTTTGTTAAATAATTTTTCTTTCTGACTTAGTTTGGTTAGTCTGTCTTAGTTTGGTTATTTGACATTAAATGCAGAGAACTGGAGATCATGACACCACAGTGATTAAGCCATTGATGTATCTGTTTTAATTGGATTTCTATCATCTGTTCAGAAACAAACAGAAAAAGCCAGGCCAGGCTGTCCTGTAGCTGTGTGCTTTTGTTCTCCCAGTCCCTAATACACACTTCTCCCACTATACCATGACAATTACCCCATTTCCTTACATTATTCCATCTTTAAAGAGTTTTTTGTGCCAAGTAGTGCTGGGCGGTATGACCAAAAATTTATATCACGGTATTTTTCAAAATTAGACCGGTTTCACGGTACATGACGGTATTTTTTTTTCATGCATGACCGGGTGCTAACCATATTTTCTACAAGAGCGGCTATGCGGTTGTTTTGGCTATATTACTTTTTTGTCTCATGCAGCGCACTGCCTGCGTCTGAGTAACAAACTAAAAAAAACAACAAACAAAAAAGTGCATGTGATACTAACAGACAAACTACGCTCATATGTATAATTCCAAACAATCAGTAAGTGACAGGTGTTTTGTACTCATTTATTGACAAGTCTGCTGCGGTGCGGCCAACTGAATGCGCTGCTTCTCTGCCGCTCACTGCACAGAACAGACGCCGAGAGAGATGA